TGGGCGATAGTCCAATTTTCTGAATTAGATCCTTGAACTTAAATGGTGGCATGCCTTTAGTCCAGGGATCTGCTAACATCAACTCAGTATGAATGTGTTAAATGAATACAACTTTATTTTTGACACGCTCCCTAATTGCTAAAAACTTGATGTCGATGTGTTTAGTTCGACTTCCACTTTTGTCGTTCTTAGCTAGGAAGACTGCATCTGAGTTGTCACAGTAGACTTTCAATGGCTTAGATATAGAATCCATATTTTTAAGCCCAGAGATAAAATTATTTAGCCAAACACCTTGTGAAGTAGCCTCGAAACAGGAAACGAACTCAGCTTCCATGGTAGAAGTAGCTATTAAGGACTGTTTAACACTTCTCCATGAGATAGCCCCACCGGCCATAATGAAGACGCACCCTGAAGTTGATTTTTGAGAATCAACACAGCCAGCGAAGTTCACATCTGAATAAATGACAAGATCTAAATTGTCCGTCTGCTTAAACCCAAGCTTGTAACATTTGGTTCCTTTGAGATACCTTAGAACCTTCTTTACAGCTCTCCAATGGTCTAACCCCGGATTGTGCTGGTAACGCCCTAGCATTCCAACCGCAAAAGCAATATCCGGCCTCGTACAGACTTGAATATATCCAAGACATCCAACTGGTGCAGCATAAGGGATGTTCTCATGTATTCTACGTTTCTACCTAACCATAAATTCGTATTCTGTCCATATCAAACCACTTGTCCTCTCCCATCGACCAAAGCTAGAATACAAAATATGCGTTCTGTGTAAATAACGATGTCTTACATGTTTTAGAGAACTGTATTTTTCTTAATTTCGTAGCAAAAGAAGTAATATTTATTGAAAATAGTGAAACTTTTTCAGATTACCATTTCATTATTTATCAAGTATATTGATATATGATTAAGAAAATTGATTCTAAAATATCTTTATTATTAGAAATGATTTATTATCTTTATTATATTAGAATTGATTTATTTCTTTTAGAAGTAGCGAATAATTATGGTAAGGAGCTATAATAATGATTCTTCCCTTTTTATATTTTATTTATTTAATATTTAATATTGCTAACCCTTTTATTAGAATTGATTTATTAGTATCCTTACTATATTACAATTGATTTATTTCCTTTAGAAATAACGAATAATTATGGTAAAGAGCTTTAATGATTCTTCTTTCCTTTTTATGTTTTATTTAGTCTTGATAATCCTCTTATATAAAGTGAGTTCTCATTCAAAAAGGGACAAGCAAGAAAGAAGTTAAGTTAAATTCATGTGGGATGGGAACTCTCAATACGTTCCTATTATCCTTGTTCTCTAATCTCTTTAACAACCCTGAGTAATCTTGCTCGTCCCGTGACGCGCACGTTTGTCCGATAATATAACATATATTGTGTTATTGGGTCAAGAATTTATCCCTAAGTGAATAATTCATCATTTACTTTTTTATTATACCCATCAAATTCCACCAAAAGTTTGAATTATTGATAAAATTTTCAATAGTTTTAATGTCATATCACAAGTTAAGAAAGTTTTAGTGTAAACAAACGGGAAAATGAATAGCATATTTGGTATGAAGCGTAGCCGTGTAGGTGCAGTGGTCCAACTGCTTGGTATCGGCTCAGGAAATAAGGATACATAATGAACCAAAATCGATTTAGTATCGTAAAATACTATTTATATATACACACGAAAATATATAAAATGTTATTTGATATATATCCGAAATATATATATACACACAAATATATATAAATCGGCCACACGGTTATATATATATATATATATATATATATATATATATATATATATATTATATATATATATATATATAGGGTGGCATTCAAGTGAGAACTCTTTATTAGGTAGGAACTTAAGAACTTATCCAAGCCATTAAAATTCGCTCAATCAAATGTCTAGATAATTAATCAATTTTAATCTAGATCTTAAACACAATTAATAAAAAGGGTAATAGTATAATTTTATTCAGATGCCAATTATAAACTAATATTATATAATTGGATTTATTCCAAGATTTTAGGAAGTCAAGATAAGGAAGGAGACCAATTGGACTCAGATACTATGATCGTCTCATCTCCGTTAGTTACTGTCGGACGACCGTCCGCCATTCGTGAGGATTCGGAGAGCAACATTGAAAAGAGATGAACGACAATTGCTGCGGAGGGATGGCAAGTGGCGATATTGAAGGTAACTGTACTACTTGACACCATATTTGTACGCCGTTCGTGTGCATCCTTCACTTTGGGATGAGATTGAATACCTGTATGTCTGCACAAGCAATCGCATGAGGTGTGCTGGTATTGTTCATGTGTTTTCTAAGTTGCATAAAGAGAAGGATGTAGTACAATGGTTTGTACATTGTGTTAATCACCCGTCTGGTTCACGCAAATTCATGGTGGGAGTTTTTTGGGGGTCTTAGGCTCAGAGTGCAAAACCTAAGTGCACACACTTGGGTGATCCGCCTTGGCACACACCAGTTCTACTTATTATGGCACACACTGTGAAACCTAAGTGCACAACTCTGCATGTTCCATCCACTTGGGTTGTGTGCACTCACAACACAAGGTAAGTGCACACGCGAAAATCACGTCAACGGAGAATATATGTGCCCTTGTACACATCCCATTCTACGAGGGCAGGATACTCATGTGTGCACCTACGGGGTAATTACTGTGCCACACAGGCGACAAGAACCCTAAATGTGTGCACACAGGGCCAAATGTTTGTGCCACTTAGCTTAAGCATATACTGATAAAATAATGTGTACAACGCTTTACAGATTATGACAGCTCATCAGGCAGTTCATCCGGGTGTTTGATGGATATTTCTCCAAGATTAAAAAAAAAAAAAAAAAGTTAGTGTGCACAAGGGTTATGGTGTGTGTGCCAAAGTGTGCACCAATACTGCCATATTGAAACATAGGATACTAGGATGAGGCGCAACACTTAGGTTTCACGCGTGTGCCATAATGGCCACAACTAGATCCTGTATAAAAAGACGAACAAGAAGTTGGTGTGCACATGAGTCTGAAATTAGAGCATGTCATTTCATGGTCACAAAAACATTTCATATTATGGCAAACATAGTGTAATGCGTCGTAGATCATGACGGCTCATTAGCGAGTTCATCCAGGTGTTTAGTGAATATTTCACCAGGATCAACGAAGCACTGGATCCCAGAGTGTGAAGCGTTAATAATGCATGTTTGTGTATGAATAAACATAGAACACTTGATTTAACAATCTTATGTGTGCACTTGGGTTACACTGTATGTGCTATAATGTGCAGAATTAGTGTGTGTACGAAAAGACGTAGTACAGATCAGTGTGCACATGAGTTTATCTGTGTGTGCCAAAATGTGCAGTGATACTGACAAAATGAAATCTCAGAATCTAGAATGATGTGATGGACTATGGTGTGCACTTAGGTAATACCGTGTGTGCCATTCTGTGCAGAATTAGTGTCTGCACAAAAAGGCGTAAAAGAAATTGGTGTGCACATGGGTCACACCATGTGTGCAATAATGTGTAGAATTAGTGTGTCCATGAACAGGCATAAAACAAGTTAACGTGCACTTAGGTTGAACTGTGTGTGCTATAATGTACCAAAATACTAAGATTGAATCCACGAAAACCATGATGATGTTATAGACTTTGGTGTGCAGTTGCATATAAAAGTTTGTGCGATAACGTACAAAATGAGTGTGTGGGATGTGACAGGCTGGGATGTGCACATGGGTTACATTGTGTGTTCCATAATGTGCAGGATTAGTGTGTGTATGAAAGACGTAAAATAGGCTAGTAAGCACTTGAGTTGAACTGTGTGCATTTGGGTTGATAGATTCGGGTGTGCAATTGGGTAAACGAGATTGTGCCATGATGCTCAACAAAACTGCTATACGAAATACCATATGTACTTGGGTTAACGAGCTTGTGCCATCATGCTCAAGAAAACCATTATATGAATTACCATGCGCACTTGGGTTAACGACTTTGTGCCATCATGTTTCAGAAAACTGTTATACGAAATATCGTGTGCACTTCCATTAACGAGTTTGTGCCATCATGCTCAAGAAACATGTTATACGAAATATCGTGTGCATTTGTGTTAAGGAATGTGTGCATGCACCAATACCCCCATAACGTGTTTAACGTTGTGTGCGACATTATAGGAATGCGTCAGACAACAAAAAAAGGACATAAAACACCCAAGAATTAATTCTCAAACATCATAAACAGAAAACATAACTGTGCTCAAATGAACTAAACAAAAGTATTGATCAACTTGTTCAAATTAGCTCAGGTATCTAGCATTTTTCAACCATATAATGGTATTCAACTGCGCTACGGATGTGAGGTAGGAACTTGTTCGCAAGTGTGTGCATATTTGTTGTGAACTGTGTGCACTTGCGATAAATATAATGTGCACATCAGTTGTTAAGTGTTTTCACTTGGGATAAAAGCAGTTTGTGCATATTAGAATAACATAATGTGCATTTATGGACAAACGTGTGCACATTTCTTGTGAAAAATTACAAAAAATATAAAATATTTTTCTTTATCATATACAAACAGAAAATCACTACCAAGACCCATCATCGTCGTCAACATATAAGGGCTAATTAAACAAGGTTTAACAAATTGTTCCTAAATGAAAAGGTGATTCGGGAATCAAGCAACCGTTTATATCTCTGCTGGCAAGAGTAGCATACAATGCTATGAATCCTGCACAAGAACCAAACAATGTATAAATTAAAAATTAATAAAGCACTCTTGTTTTCTTGTAGTAAGCAAATGACAGGATTCAAATCATACCACTATAGCATCCCATCAATTTGACCGGGTTTAAGTAGTCCCAAGGATTTACTGGTGTTTGGCTAACTAAAATGCATGAATATGAATGAGAAACACTAAGAGTGTTGCTATTGGATCTCCCTGTGCTTCTCTTCTTCTCCACCTACAAACACATTACTCATTCTGTTTTAGGCAGAGGTTTACTACCAGGCAAGAAGCTTCTCCCTTGATAATCTTCGACCCACATACTATAAAATCAATGGAGTTGTATACATCATACATGTGTGGATTATCATCAACATTTCTTCAGACTTTCATATCTCAATTTGATTTCTTCATATCAGAATACTTTTTTGTAAAACTCTGATATGAACATAGGTATGCATATGGATATTCCTCAACAGTCCTGAATATAAGCAAATAAACTATAGCTTTAGAAACTAAAGCTTAATTGCATGTGATCAACTGTGAGACCAATTCAAGAAACTCCAACATTACTAACACATACCAACACACTTCATCATGTTCAGCAACCAACTCAAATACAAAATAGATAAATAAATAAAATACGTAAAAACATTACAAACAAAATCACACAGAAAAAAAAAAGTAATTGTGAGAAATTGAGGTTGAAACAAATGGCGTAATGAAGAATCAAAACAATAAGTGCGCACCAACTAACCACAAACACGAACCAAAACCCTACACAAATACCAAACCACAAACCCGAAGAGCTTCACAAAAATCAGACCACAACAAAATCAAATAAAAAAATGAAAAACAACTTAAACAACCAAAAATCCAAAGGGAAAACAACTAGGGAAAAAAGGAGACGAAGAAGAAGAAAAAATGCCATAAGCCCATAACCAGCGACCACAACCCAACACCAACAACCGAATGCGAGATGAGCAAAATCAAACAACTATACAACTCATATACGATTAAAATACACACAAATTACAAAGGAAATCGAAACTTAAAAAAAAAAAGAATAAAAACTCGCCTCGAGCAGCGGACAACCTGGTCACCGGACGGGAACGTTTGGTGTTACTACCATCACCGCGGGGCCATTTGAGACGGAGAACTGAAGCAGAGACGAGGGATGGCTTGAAGCGAATGGACTTCTGGGCGCGAGAAGATGGCGTCGACGAGAGAGTCCAACTTACGACTCAAAATCAGACTGCGAAGATCTAGCGAGATTTGTTCCCCTTCCACACACGACCACACGTACACGATATGAAGTTCCTAAAATAACCCTGCTCACCCAAAATAAAACCAAATCAGCAAAAAAAAAGCCATTAAAATGATAAAATATGAACCGTAGATTAAATAAAAAAAAGGCTTAGATTAGTTCATATGTTCCTACCTAAATATGGGTTCCTATATGATTGTAATTCTATATATATATATATATATATATCAACCAAAATAGAATTTATAATCCTCGGATTATAATTCCAACCAAAAGGAAACGAAGTACGGATTTTTATTGCTTGAAAGCATAATCCCAAAACCAGAGAAGAAAGAAGATAAAGAAGAGGGTAAGTACGAGTCGAGCGAAATACTCTTTTTCCTTAAAATTTTATTTGACACCCCCCAAAAGTGCTAGGAGTGTTGTGGTCTAGGCTTCCAGGATAAAACGTACTACGGTTCAACGTTTGAGCACCCAAACGAACGAACCCGGCGAACACAATCGGCAAGAACAGAGTAGGAGCAGAGTTTTGAGAGAGTAAAATCAAAGTGTGTGTTGTGTCTCTTTTTCACTCTAATTGAGATTGAGGTGTAAATAGCATCAACAATGGAGATTAATTCTGAAATTAACGAACGAACCTGCCGAACACAATCGGCAAGAACGGAGTAGGAGTAGGAGTTTGAGAGAGTAAAATCAAAGTGTGTGTTGTGTCTCTTTTTCACTCTCACACTTGAGATTGAGGTGTAAATAACATTCAACAATCTGGAATTAATATTTTCGGACGACATTCGTGTCCGCGTACACGAATTTAAGCCTAAGTCAAGTCTTTTCAGGCTCACTATGAGATTTTGATTTGCACCATCTACTTAAAATGTCATTTTAATGCTATTTTCAGAACCGTCCAGAACCATCCCTGGGCATGTTTGCCCAGGGCCCCCAATTTTTGGGGGCCCATATTTAAAAAAATATATTATATATAGTATATTTAGACTTCAAAGTAGGCTAGAACTCTAGAATAGGCGTTTTTCCTTCTGCCTTTGAGTTAGAAGATCATGTGGCTTGATTTAACCGTTACCCAGCACTACAGTTTGAAGGAATTCAAGATTATTCTGTACTTTGAATCAATTGAATGTTTGATCATTGATCAACAAGAGGCGTACGAGAACGCCCGACTGCCGCCGCCCCGATACGACTTAGAGCTGAAATACACACCACGACCCCTTTCGGTAACAATCGCCGTAGGGACCCCTCAAGCCAGGCTAACTGACGAAGGTTCACCTCCCGTTACACTTCCTTGGCCTTTTCACGCCGACTAACAACGAACTAACGTTGTGCTTTTTTCCTTGCAGGAATGGGTCCGACTCGTGGTTTTCCGACCGCCAGCTCTCCTCGAGCCCCCCGAGCCAAACTGACGCTCGGGGGAAAAGCAATGGCCACTGCCCCACCGGCCGGTCAAGAGGTCGAGGATGCCTTTGTCCCGGTCGCTCGTCCCATGGCTGCATCCACGACCACCTCCGAAGGGGTTCTGCTCGCAGACGCTGCGGCCGACCCGTTGGCCCCCCGAGCCCCCGGGCAGAAGGGAAAAGAGAAAGTGTCTGGGAAAAACGCAGAAGAGGCGGACTCTCTCAAGCGTCGACGAAGGCAAAGCCCCCAGGCCGAAGTCGTCCCGAGCGGCGGACAGACGGGCGGGGAGTTGTCCCTCCTCACCAGGATTAACAATCTCCATCCAATCGGGGAAGACATGACCGGATGGACGCCGGCCCAGATGGCCGAGAAGGGGGCTCGGGACTTAGTCGAGGTTTGTTAAGACTGCTTTTTAGCTTTCAACTGTTACGAGCCGATCGATTATTTTAACATCACTTTCTTGCAAGCCTCGTGAGCACTCCTCGGCCTTCAGTACCGGGCGCTGATGGCCAATGAAGCCGAAGCCTTGAAGTGGGTCGCCGAGCGCCAAGGCAAGGAAATCCCCGACCTTCAGAAGGAACTAAAAGCCGCTAAGGAGGCTCAAGCGGCGGCCGAGAAGGAGGCGCGAGTCGCCCGAGCAGAAGCGGGCGAGCTGAAGACCCGACTCGGCAACCTGGATGGTCTGGCCAAGTTCTTATGCCGTGACGAGCCCTCGTCTGAAAAGTTCTTCCAAGCTCTTATGAAGAACAAGCTCGGGGAAGAAAAGGTCTGGACCTTCGGCCATTGGGCCTACGCGTCAGGTCAAAGGGCGATGCGGGAGGAGACTCGGACTATAATGGAGGAGGTCTTTGAGGGCGAGGATCTGAAAGCAGTATTGACCACTCTTCCGGACGAGATCCCCGACCCCGGGCCCACGCCCTTTACCAAGCCATCCGCGTCAGGATCTGAAGCTGAGCCAGCTATGGGAGGTCAAGCTAGAGGGAAGGCTGTGTGATCGACGACCGAGCCTAGAGCTTTTATTCTTCTTTTTTTTGATTTTTTGCATCTTAACTCAATCAGGAGCCCGGTCCCGTTTGTACCGGGCAACTTTTATGTTTTTAAATGAATCGATCGATTGTTCATTGCACATCACTTTTTATTTTTCGCATTTTATGCTTGTTAGATCGATTGTTCATTGCATCGCTTTTTATTTTTCGCATTTATGCTTGTTAACCTTAACCCTTATCCTTAGCCATCCGCGTCGGGATCTGAACCTGAGCTAGCTACGGGAGTTCAGGCTGGAGGGAAGGCTGTGAGATCGACGACCGAGCCTAGAGCCTTTATTCTTCATTTTTTGATTTTTTGCATCTTAACTCAATCGGGAGGCCGGTCCCGTTTGTACCGGGCAACTTTTATGTTTTTAAATGAATCGATCGATTGTTCATTGCACATCACTTTTTATTTTTCGCATTTTATGCTTCTTAGATCGATTGTTCATTGCATCGCTTTTTATTTTTCGCATTTTATGCTTGTTAACCTTAACCCTTATCCTTAGCCATCCGCGTCGGGATCTGAAGCTGAGCCAACTACGGGAGGTCAGGCTGGAGGGAAGGCTGTGTGATCGACGATCGAGCCTAGAGCCTTTATTCTTCTTCTTTTTTTTTTTTTGATTTTTTGCATCTTAACTCAATCGGGAGCCCGGTCCCGTTTGTACCGGGCAACTTTTATGTTTTTAAATGAATCGATCGATTGTTCGTTGCACATCACTTTTTATTTTTCGCATTTTATGCTTCTTAGATCGATTGTTCATTGCATCGCTTTTTATTTTTCGCATTTTATGCTTGTTAACCTTAACCCCACACTGCCGGACATACGAGGGACGAGTGAGTGCGACAGTGGTTAAGAGGTAAGTTAACGTTGGGATTGATCGAGCACATACCGGCTGACATGCCTTACCCGGTCGATGTCGTAGTACGACTGTTCGCCGGACATGAGACCTATTTACCGATATTCTGAACTGCCCGAGCGGAATGTGAACAACTTTTGAAGTCGTTGGGTTTTTACCCCTATCGGTCGGTGCCGAACGGGGGCCTTTACCCTCATCGGTTATAACCGGATAATTGACCCCGATTTTATCGGGTAAATTTTAGCAACATTATGGTCGTTGGGCGTTCGCCCATTTCGACTTCCCAATGGTTGTTTCAAGACGGTAGGTGCCCGGGCGAACGACCGCTGTGATCACATATGGCCCCTCCCAATTTTGGGCCAGTTTGCCTCCTTCAAGGGGTTGACTTGCTTCCCGTCGTCGTAACACATAATCCCCGACCTGAAAATAACGCGGCTGAACCCGAACGTCTTTGGTGCCTTTCACTCTCTGTTGGTACTCGGCCATGCGTTTAGCAGCGATCTCCCTTTTTTCTTCCACACTATCTAGGTCCACGGTTAAAGAATGTTCGTTCTCTATTACATCATAAGACCGCTCCCTAGCTGTCGAGATCCAAGCTTCAATTGGCAACCGGGCCTCAGCGCCACAAACCAATGCAAAAGGAGTTTCTCTTGTTGCCTCTCTGGGTGTTGTGCGATATGTCCACAATACAAATTGGAGTTCCTTGGCCCAATTACGACCGGCTGAATGTAAATTTTTCTTTAATCCCTCTAGGATGGTACGGTTGGCATTCTCTACTTGACCATTCCCTTGAGGGTAGGCCACCGATGATCGGATTGAGGTCGTCCCGATCGTTGCCAAGAAGTTTTGGAAATACCGACCCACAAACTCCCGACCATTGTCACTTATCAATTGAACAGGGACGCCAAATCAAGAAACGACATTTCGCCATAAGAAACGGGCGCATTGTTGGGAGGTGATCGTAGCCAAGGGCTCGGCCTCGATCCATTTGGAGAAGTAGTCTATAGCGACGATGACAAAACGACGACGCCCAGATAATTGTGGAAAGGGCCCTAATATATCCACCCCCC